ACCACTATTAGAAACCTGGCAGCACTGGATTGCCCTTTCGTACTTGTATGGAACTCATGCATTGTCTTCGGGATACAGGAATAGGTTGGACGAAAGCTAGGGGCAGCCAAACCAAAACGTGGCACAAATCCATGAAGTCATTGACAGGTGGACTGAGTCATGTCGGTAGGTATCGACTACTTGGTTGGGGTCCGCGAGATGATAATAATCGATGGTTAGAGACACTGAATGACATGGCTCAGAATCGCTTGCAATAGCGCAGGTGCATTTACTCTTTGTGTTCTATGATATTCTAACCTTCTGAATTCCTTATCACCTCTACCTTTCTCTTACTAAATTCACCTCACTGAATTATACCTCCTGAATAACATCTTCGAACACTAATCTCTCCGATTACTTCTAATACTTTTACTACCTCTACTATTATGGGATTTGAACTGACAATTATATCTCTGTGCCAATGTGGTATCGCAACTTGAACCGATGTACTTTCGTATAAAGTTCTACTTTGTAAGTGACCGACTGACATCAATTGTCTTCAGTAACTAACTACCTGCACCTAACAGGGCTGAACTCCACTGATTATGACTCCTCACTAGAGCTCCGAGAATTTCCCCAAGAAGCTAGTCACTAGCTAGTCAGATGATACTTTTGACTATATGGTTGTGAAGATAGTTTAGTTTGATTGAAATCATGAATCAATCGCTGTTAGACTACCATTATAAACCAGAAATCACTGGATGGCCATTCCGTCCCAGTATACAACTCGTCAGAGCTTTTCATCAATAACCACGCACGCGGGAACCGAACCCAGGACCTTCGGTTTAAAAGTGACAGATTCATGATGTGAAAAAACACTCAAAAATCTCCACAACCCTCTAATGAAACTATAGAATGTTTAAACTATACACAATTGAAAAGTAGGTAGAAGGGTTGGATTTGTTATCCCATATAGAAACTTAATTCACCCGAAATTTTAAAAACAAGTAACCTTATCCTAGCCTGTTTTTAAACAACTAGTTACAAGAAGACATATGCGTTACATCAAATTTCGCAAACCACTTTCATATTTACTTTGATTTATATTTCTGGATACATTTTACATAAGTCTTCTAAACCATAATCCTAAACATACTAATATTGAATATATTTATATAGTGAATCATTGAAATTTTCTTGACTCCACAAACCCTCTGTGTATTTATGATTGACATTACATGAATAAATTGTTTTGCTATTTTTTTTCTACTCTATCCGAAGAACATTGCAACTAGAACTATAAACAAATGTATGTCAAAGAAAATTGAACAAATGTGTTTGTTTATATGGAGAGAGAAAAAATGGAAGAATTACTGGCAGAAAATGGTCAGTTGTACAATTCAATTGTTTATTTAATCTGTTGTGTATGTTATGGTTATTTTTTTTTTATAATAGAAATTCATAATGACGAGAAATTGTCAATCATGTATGTACACGGCATAATAAAATAATAATATAAGCTTTTCATTGATAAGCAAAACAGTTTCATTTTATTTGATATAAAAATGTAGTTCGACACAATGCAAAAGTATATTTGACATCTATACAAAATCCATATTTATGGAAATACATATTCAGTAGTTGTGATAGTACACTCTTCAATGTTGAATGATGAGTTTCAGATAGGCATTTATTATTCCGTTCAGACATTCACAAACTAACACAAATTCATGAACAATCGATTGAGCACATAAAATTCTCAAGTGTGTTCCAAAATTTATTCAGTTAGGACGACAAAAAAGTACTTTGTACCATGCTGCATTTATTTCAGACTTGAAACTCATGTGATTAATCGCATAAAAAAATACATGATTTATAACAAAATAATAAAATTAATTATGTAAATAACTAGGACATTTATGATTATTTTTTTCAAAAAATAAAAAAGAATCTAAGTTATGATAGCTTTTTATTGAATCTGTTGTATCGATTCAGTTGCATTGGAATACCATAAACAGATTGATTCAATAATTTCATAATTGAAAATCTCAAATTTTACATTTTCACTTTATTTATAAACGATCGAAACACCAGTAAATTAAATTTTCACCAGTTTGTCATTGATATGAACCACAAGAAGATTTAAATTTCAGTACAAATATTAAAATAATAAAATAAATAAAGAAGAAATTTCCAATAAATAAACTTCAATGATCAAATACACTTTTCAACGATGCCAGAAAATGTGAAAAAAATACTAGTTCAATACAATTTATTGACAGTTAAAACTTTTGACCTGTTCGACCTTAATCAGTAGTATTGTTAGGTTTTAATTTAATTTAAAAACTAATGAAAATTTCATTTGCCTGACTATTTTGTCCTTTCGTTTGTTTGTTTTTTGTTTTAACTATTCGTTTCGCTTTCACAATTCACACAATTCATTATGCATGCTCTTTACTCAACTAGCCTTGTTTATGCTTTGAATTTACAAATTCGATTTTCTTATTGTTCTTATTGTTTGAAGGACATGCTATTCGATGCACCTGAATTCAATTAATGTTGCAACTCTCATTTTCTTTTAAAAATTGTTTACTCAAAGTAGTTCAATCGTTTACATGAGCTAGGCTTTATAATGTGTTTGCCTTATGATTTATAACTTATAATGTTACTAGGCGAAAACAATTTCATTTTGTTACATTGCTATTAAATTTGACAAGATGATTAGTTAAAAGTTTTTCTTATATAACCAAATTAATTTGAATAAAAAAATAATAATGAAGCTGACTGATAATATTTTTCATGGAATTCACTTATTCACTTAACGAAAAGCATTACTAATAATATGGGGAATCGATGAATGGATGGAATCCAATATATATATATATTTTAACACGAAGCGGAAGGGTACTTTTCCTCATATTTAGGCAAACAAATACTATGCTGCTTGAAGTAGACCACTCGTTTCTAGTTTATGGGTTTAAATATTGTTTACTAACTTTGAGAGTGGAAGGATAGCGGTTTTAATCGGTTCAAATGTGTCATATAGTTACTTCGTGCGTTTTGAATAATTATATCGTTGATAATAGTTTGTGACCGAAAAAGTATATAATTAATTCACTTAAAAGAAATAGATATTGAACAAATTCGACGCTGTAATCCACATAGAATGTAAGTGTACCGACTAATGCTGGTCAAGTTTTAGTCAAAGTATTGTTATCATACCTTTTGCACAAATGAGTGGCTACCCGGACTCAGTGGTTAAGTGAATAAAGAGTTGATGCCAAAAGCGGAGGATGCTGGGTTCGAGTTTCCATTTGAATATCAACACCAGGACACAAGCACATCCATTTGAATTGTTACAAATAAAACAAGAATTTCATGCCGGATTACAGACTCAAAGCCACAATCTGTCTATCCCGTTTAACTTGTGACATAACCGTGCAATTCAAGTCACTCGTATAAGCTGAAAAATCCACAACACAGACTAGTCAGACTCAAATCTGAAAATCAACAACAAGATAACTCAAACCTATAATAATACTCATCTAAAACCTAGGTTGAGTGTTTAATATTTTCGGGAAAAAGTGCAATTTGGATACTTCACAAATAAAAATATATTGACCAATGTTAGACTTTAGAATAGAATTTTAAAATGTTTAGGAACAGATATTTGTCAGATGTCCTAAAACGGCTCAAAAAAAGGAGGTTAAATTGATGAAAACAACATTTTGTTATATTCATCAGTCAGTTAAGCAAACTGACCAGAAGTTAGTGATTGACCGTTGATCGAATGCCGAAATCAGGAGAATCCGAAATAAAATCAATAAACAGTCAAATTACAGGAAAACATTACAACTGACTTTCCTTTACTCCTTTTTTTAATTACAAGACTCAAAATGAAGTTTTTTTATATGAAAAAATTAACATGGTCTTTAAGTGAAAAATTCCAAACTAAAAATATTGATTATAGAATATTTGTTTTAATGATTGATTTTTGTTGAAAATAAATCTTCTTTAATGAATGTTTTTTCTTCGTTGTTGTTGTTGTTGTTGTTGCTTAATTTCACATATTTTAGAGATAAATGTAAACAGTGTGCTTCTATTATTGATTCCGTTTGAATGTAATTCAAACTGATACTAAGAAAACTTATCTATCTAGCTGACTAGGGGTAGCTAATTGTTTATAATTTTCATTAATTAAACTAACTGATCAAACCTATATCATATCATTATTCATTTTATACACATACCTTTTCAGCTATTTCTTATTACAATCGGTTACAATCTATGATCAATCAATCACAAAATCATCTTTAACTCTTATTTGTACTAGTCCTACAAAAGAATTAGTCGGCTCCAATATTTTCAAATCAATGGAATTCGTTAATAAATAAAAAAAGAACTATTTATTATTTTTCTTTTCATTTATTTACATTGCTCTAGAAAAGTTTTTTTTTCTTTATTTTTGTACATTAAGGCAAAATAAAATGAGACTATCATTCATGGCAGCGAGAGAATCATTCAATTCTTAGTAATAAGAAAAAAAAATACCTAATTTGTAAAGAACAAAAAAAATGGTGCATAACAGTAAATTTCTTGAAAAAAAATTTTTTTCTTCAAACTAAAATGAAATAAAACCGAGAAAAAAAATATAACCATTAAGACTTGTTAAAGTCAATCAATTATTTTATTTAACAAGTAGAAGAAAATAGTCAGTCATCAAGGCAGTAGTGACAAATCAAAGTAATATTAGAACAATTAAGAGAAACAAAAAGTCAGTAGGTGAAAAGAAATCTTAAAAAAGATTGTCAATATTAGTTAGATTGTATGTATGTAGGAACGAAAAAAAAAGCAAACCCAAATAAGAAGGCTTGTCAAAAAGCAATCAATCCAGATAGTTTGATTGTATGTACAAAAAATTGGAAGAACTAAACTTACACAAACTAACTAAATAATCCATATGTGGAATGAATCAGCAACCTGATTGATTTATATGTACACAAATGTGTTTGTAAAACATTTACAATAGTAGTAATGAATTCACGAAATATCTTTTTTTTTTTATAAAAATAATGATGATCAAAACGACTTCTTTAAAAATAATTTTTTTTTTCAAATACAAAACACAGAATACAAAAGTTAAACATTTCCTTGTCATCTGATCGTTTGGAATTAATGTACACCCATAGAGATGTGATTTACTGGCTCGATGATTGCTCTACGTCATTTGATTGATTTTAGAACTTCTATCAATAATTCTGTTCACATAAATAGCAAAACCTTTTTTTAAGTGCTCTTTTTCAAACCATTTCAGATTTACCATGAATATTTATCAGGAATGTAAGCACATTAGTTAAGTCAATGACTGCTGGTAGGTCAGTTAGGAAAAATTTCAATTTTCTTACTGAAACATTTGGTTGTTTAGTCAATAACTTCCAGTCTTTATTATAATGATATGGTTGACGTTGTGGCATATTCCTTTGACTATTATGTGTAAAATTTGATAAGGAAGAAGTTGACGAGGATGGATAATAACTAGATTCTTGCATGTGGCTTACATGGCGTTTCGATGGTAAATCTTGACTTGTAATATGCTTAAATGTTGTTGTTGTTGTTGTTGTTGTACATTGTTGAGATACATTTGCATAGTCTGCATAGACAAGAAAAAATACACCATTCTTTTGACCACCATACGCCACAACACTTCTATATGATATTGATTTTAAACAGTAAATTCGCGTCGATTCTAATTTGTTGTTTTCGTTAATTATTATTTCTAAACTTGGTAATCTAAATGTACCACCTGTTAGTATATTGATTTGTCCTTCTTGTGGTACAATCCATACTAATTGATTTTCATTAGTCGATGCGAGATTATTCACACGTGCAATATACGCAGAACATGTGAATCTATAAGGAAATAAACGTTTTAAATGTTTCAAATAGTTCATACAAGCAAGAAATGTTGCTAAATCAATTTGATTTTCATGATTATTAATTTTTAAATGATCCTGTCTAACATGATCATTCTTTTTAAACACATCATTATGAATTTTGTTTAAATTTAAATGAAATTTCAAATTTGATGATACAGATTTTGTTAATTTTGTCCAACGATCTAATACGATTAGCTTAATTTGTATAAATGATTGTGTATCAGTTGAATTGACATTATTAGATAACCAATGAATAGGGAAATAACTTTGTAATAATTCACTAAATGTGATTTGTTCATGACGTTTTTGTAATTCTGAATAGTCATAATAGTCCGCACGACATAAATAAACAATTAAATCGATAAAATCAATACCACGTATTGGTATTTGATAATGATTTGCTAAAATACTGGCATGTAATTGATGCACTAAAAAACTTAATAAAGATACATTTGATTTGCTCAATATTAAATTATGTACAACTTTCCATGTAAATGTTTGTATTTTAAACAAAAGTTTTACTGAAATTTGATCAATTCTAATAAAATCAATTTGTTGCTTTGCTTGTCCCGATTGATGATGATTAGTTAATAAGTGTTCTAATGTGAATTGCTCATGCGTTGAAATAATATCACATATTTTCCATTGAGGATTTAAATAAACATGTTTTGACTCTATAACTGATTCTCCTAAACATAAATATATACCAAATAGAATTGCATCTTTGCAAGTAATTTCATTGAATCCAAGTTTTTCAATCATTTGTAGTTTTAAATCTTGTATTGTAGAACTACCATGAAAGTTAACCACTTCATAATTTGATCCATAAGGTAAGTAAATTGGCAATGAAAAAGGATATACATGTGTATTGGGATTACGAATGGATATAGTGAACACTTCCAACACTGATGGATACTGATCTCGACCACTGTATAGTTTAGTTCGATTTAATGTATCACGACAAAATGATGCATAGCCAGCAATTTCTGTGAAATATCTTATTTTCAGTTGTACCCCCTCTGATTTCACCTTATCGTACGGATCAACTTCATATGATGAGCCTGTTGATGAAACTAAGCGTACTGGATCCATGAATAGATTGAAAACGTGTTGCAGACATTCTACAACAGGATCAGATGGTAACATAAATGTCAGAAATAAGCATAAACATTCCCAGATTGCAATAGAAGGCCACCAGTACTCAGGTTTGGGATTATTATTCAAATTAGTCAGTGGTATGATTAATTTAGCTATCGGTGACGAAGTCAACTGAGATGCCACTTCAGACAATAAACCTTTATATCGATTGCCAATTTGCAGATGAAAAACACTCGCTTCGTTCTGTTTAAAATTATTACAATATTTCAAATGATTAGTGATAATATTTGATTCATCTGGTAATTCTTGACTTTTAGTACATGAAAAAATTGTGAAATTACGTTTAGAAATTTTATTTTTAAATAAAATTATATAAGCATCTTTTGGTATTTGTTTAGTATGTATACCAGCAAAAATTATTTGCTTAATTAATTGTAAATACAGTTCATCTTTTAAAATGGGATATTTCAGACAAAAATGTACTATTTGTTTCATAATTAAATATTTTATTATTAACCATTGTGAAGTATTGATTAAATTACTCAATGGTATTTCCATTAAGTGTAAATTTGAATTTTCAATTAAATCAATTTGTGGATGACAAAGAAATAATAAATGATTAAATAAACGTAAACTAATCTCTGTGTATTCATGCGAAATGGTTTTTGAAATAGGCTCTTTAATTGATATTATAGAATGATATAAACTGTTTATATGTGATGGATTTACTAGTTGTTTCCATATTTCTCGAATATTTTCAAAGAATTTAAGAGATGATGATGATGATGCAGATGATGACAACGTCGGCGTCTGTGTTTCACCGGGATCGATGATTGTCGGAGAGTGTAGTGTTGCTCGAATTAGATTATCTCTCCATTGTTCACATTCTTCAACTGTAGGACAAAGCAAATAAATAGGTTCATGTTCCGGTGTCCATATTTTAATTGTTTGTTGTCGTTCCTGATTTAATTTTGAACAATTTAAACTGATCAAAAGTGAATCTGAGTCTGAACTAGATGTAAGCAATTGACCGGAATCATAAAAATCTATGGATATACTGCATGATTTATTTGTTCTTTGCGTTACTCCTCGTTCTAGGCTGGCTGTTTGATTGCCAATTAGATGTATGTATGAATTTTTTAAATTTTTACAACCGATTGGAACTGTACTGTGTGGACTCAATGAATAAATCAAATATAGACCGGCTAGACGACACCAAAACCATGCAATTTGACCTTTTTTCACACGTTTCAACCAACCTTCTTTAATAATTTGTGATTTATATCTATTCAATATCTGTTCAGCTTCATTGATTCGAAGCATATTTTTTATCAAACATAACCATTTCGTTGTTTCTTGACTAGTAGCACCACGTAATCGATACACTTTTTTATTATGTAAAACCAATTCAAAATATTTTTCTACGCGAGTTTTTGGCATACTTTCAATGTGTGTAAATTTTCGTGAGACCGGAGCACTGACATTTGGGCGTGTTTCAATATTGTTACGCATGGTTGACGCCGTTGCAGCTGTTGTTGTTGATCCTGATGATAATAACATTAATGAATCATTCTTGGATAAGTTTGAACACATCAGCTGATTGATCGATGTTGACATGTTCGTTGGACGTCGAACACTGTGAATTTCTGTGAACAGGATAACTTTTTCCGGTTGATTTATTGTCATAGATTGATTGCATGTGATTATCTGTTGACAATGATGCAGAAATAATCCTTTCAATGTAAGTATACACCAATAATGATGCCACAATTTTAAATGATTATTTAATTTCAATAAAACACCTGAGTAATTTTCACAAATTGACAATTTGTTTTCATCATTTGAAATTGGCAAATCGTTCAATAAATTAGGCTGCTTTAGTACATTTGTTTTACATGATTCAAATGTATTCGACTTGAAATTATATAAGTCTTTGGATAGATTTTCAAACTGTCTCATTGATTTTATCGATGTTGAATCAATGGTTTTGTTTGAATCCAACACTAAAAACTGATTCATATTCACAGTTTGATGTAAACTTGACTCAGAATTGGTTTCACTTGATTGATCACAATTTATTGGAATACTTTTCTCGGTTTGTTTGATTACTATAGGCATTAAATTAGTCAAATTTAATTTAATAGTTTGTAGTAAATACGCACAGCCTGAAACACATGTGAATACTTCAAAAGATTTAATAAAGTTTGATAGATATTTTAAAGCCAAATGATTTTTCTCATCGGTTAGTAAATAATTCAAATCAATACAAAATGATGTTTCCAAATTGGTATTTAAAAAATCATTTATTGATCCAATTGTTAATTGTGTATATGGTAGGTGACTTTTTGACGATATTGATGATGATGCAGTCATCATGTGTTCACGAGTTGAATCATTAACTGGAACGCTGTATGTTGATTGATTCATACTTGAAGGTACATTATGCTTTTTGGATTGTTTATTTTGTTTTATTGATTTTCCAAGATTACGTATAACAGTACTCTGCTTGATCGATCGATCATCATTTAAACCAGTTGATTCAATACTTTTAGTACGAGATAAAGGTTGTAATAAATCCTCTTCATTATTTTCAGTTTGATTGACAGAACTACTTGTATCACTAAATTGTAAATATTGTTTCGGTTCATATAGATGTTTTCTTGATATGTGAATTTTTGGTGGACCTTTCATCAAGGTAGTTTTATTTACAGAATTAATAAACTTTTCATTCGGTGATTGCGGTGTATTTGAATCAAAAATAGTAGGATTGGAAGCTTCAGATATATCAGATGCTTTCATAGTTGATTTTTTCAATCGATCAGTACTATGTATTCCATCTGAACCTAGTTTAGGAATGGTTTTTGAATCAAGTATATGAGTGATTTTTGACGAAAGTTTCGATGTTGCTGTATAATCTTTCACCGATTTTAAGAAATCATTTCTAGACATCCAATTTCTCCGTGTAACTGGAGAAGCTGGTAGAGATGCTGACTGATCATGCATTCTATCATGATAATCCAATTTCGTTAATTGCTCATTATCATACATTTCATGGTTGCTGATTACTATGGAATCACTTGATGAGTTATATGACTCAACAGAGAGTGAACTAGAATATCTTTCATTAGGTGTCAACATAACTAACTTCCTACGCGATGATAATGTTCTTCGCGGAATTGCAGATTTCGGTGATGGACTAAATGATGATGAGCTGGTATTGTAGTGACCTTCACTATTCGCATCGTTATCGTCATGATGTGCTCTTTCATCTGGTCGATAAATTAAAAATTCGTCAGGTGTAAATGATGAATTTTCTTTGGGTTCTTTCGTTACTTTTTCAAATTTCAAAAATGATGAATGATTATCAACTTCATTCTTATTCTCAAAATTAGATTTCTTATATGTTGATTGTTTACTGGTTAGTTGATTTGTGCTACAATCATTATCGTAAGTTATTGCTTTATTTTGTTCGGTGTAAAATAATTCTGATATATCTGAATCATTTATATCATTCACAAGATTTTTATTCAAACAAATATCATCATAAGCATCAGATAAGCTTGAATATTCACCCAAACTAAATCCACCTATTGATTCAAGCAAACTTTTCCTATCAGTAATATCATCGTAACTAGCAATTGGTGCATGTTTCGGCAATGATTTCCCGTTATACCGATGAACACGATCTTCCTCTTGAATTAATGCTTGTTCACTCTGGTTAGTACATAACAATGATTGATTCTGTTGTTGTTCTTTATCACCATGTTTATTGTCAGAATATTGATTTTTGTCAATAATTTGATCTGTTGTCAATCGTTTAAGAACATGCGCCAATTGATGTTCAAGACTAATTTTCTCTTTTTCCAATCTTTGATTACGTACTTCCAATTGATGAAGATGAGCAACCATTGCAGCATTTAAACTTCGATTTTTATTTTGTTGTATTTCAGCAGGATCAATATCCAATTTTGTATTGATTCTGGTATATTCCATCGGACAACCACTTGTACTAGATGTTAATGCAGTCGCCAACTGGATATGTTGTAGATTATGATTCAGTGAAGGTGTGACAGGATTTGTTAAAATCTCCGAATGATATTCATTAATATTGCTCTTATAGTGTTGAATAAATGCTCTAAACTGTTCTTTATCAAGTAATAATCCACGTTGATAAGCATCATTTTCTTGTTTAGACTGTGGTTGATTTTCAGACATTCGATTTCGATTATTATTATTGTTATTATTATTAATCCATTTATAACTAAATGAAAATACTATATTCCTATCAATTTCAAAAAAGAATATAACTCTATAGTATACACCGGTATCCTTTTATTATTGTTATTTTGTGTCATGTACACGTGTATGTATTTATGTATGTATACGTATGAGATAAATACCCACTGATTTACTTGTATGTTTACTTAATTAAAATCTTCTTTCAAAGAAGACATTTTAGTTGAATCTCTCATGACCTTCACTATATTTTGTCATTTGCAAGACAGGCAACATTATTACATTTGTGCACTTAGCTGTGATGTATGTCTGTGTTTATTTCTAATATTTTTAATGAAAACGAAATAATATCCGTTCGACAAAAAAATTAAGGTCATCAGAGGAACAATAGAAATTTATATACACAGCCTCATTATTATCATTATTTAACATTTATTAAACTTACAGACACATATTGATGCATGGTATAAGCGATGCGACATTTGTTTAATGGAAGCAGACATAATGTATAACAAAGATAGATGAACAAACATACAATATTATGCACTCGCATTTGTATGGTTCATTCTCAACAAACTAACCAAACAAGGAAGAAGAAGAAGAAGAAGAGGTAGACATGTAGTAATTGAAATTAGACTACAATTTACATCTGTGTAGAGTGACAAACACATTCATGTCTTGGGTGATGAACCTAACAATCTCTAGAATGTATCGAAGCACCTAATTTATCTGATTAGTACAGACATGTTGTGAAAATATCAACACACAAACATCTATCTTTAGATCGAAAATACAGTTTAGGAAAGTACACATATCCTACAAGGATTGATGTGTATCACATTTGACACATGGAAAGCATTCGACAACGTAGACGCAATGACACTATGAGGACTTGCCTGAAACTATTTGGTGCATGAGATGACAGTCAACACCATACGAAATTCTTATGATGGATTAAACTGTAATATCGTGAATAGAGCATAGCTCATGAACTCATTTAATCGAAAACCGGTGTCAGAAAAGATTTATGACTCTGACTCTTTCTCTTTCTCCCAGTGGTTGACTGAATTATGAAGATGCCAACGTCTGTGTGGGAGCACGGGATGCATTGGACCATCTGGACTTTGCAGATTTCCTAGCCCTTCTATCTCACTTGCAACAACAAATGCTGGAGAAGGAGCCCAGTGTAGCAGCAGTTGGTCTCAACATAAAGGAGGGAAAAAGCGAAATCCTCCGATACAGTAAAACATGCACCATCCAAATCACACTTGACGTAGGAGCTTTGAAAGATGTGGAAACATTCACATACCTGGTCAGCATCATTAATGAGCAAGGTAGATCTGATGCAGATTTGAAGACAATGATTAGCAAAGCAAGGGTAGAATTTCTACAGCTGAGGAACATCTGCAACTCAAAACAACTGTCAACCTACACCAAAGTCAGAGTTTTCAGTAACACGTCAAAACAGTTATATCGTATGGGGCGGACACTTAGAGAACTACGAAAGTCATCATCCACTCTTCATCTGTTGGCCAGGCACTATCAGAAACAACCAATTGTGTGAGAGATCAAACAAGAACTTAGCTGAGGAAGAAATCAGGAAAAAGCGCTGGAGGTGGATATGATACACATTTCAGAAAGTATCAGATTGCATCACGAGGTTAGCCACAAATTGGAACCCTTACAGTCAAAAGAAAAGAGGTAAACCAAGGAACATAGTGCGCTGAGAATCGGAAAAAGATATGAAAAGAACGAATGGCATTTGGAAAACAAGGCTTAAGACAGAGTAGGTTGGAGAATGCTAGTCAACTGTCTATACTCCATTAGGGTTAGCAGGAGTAAATAAATCTGAAACTTGGTTTTGTGGGTGAATGAACTGCATTAGTTTTTCTTCATAAAGTTCCTACTTTAAGTCCTTATCCCTATCAGACCCATATTAACTGAGTTATATTTCGTTTGCTTGTTGCAGCTTTATGTTCCATTAGGTGTAAGCTACATAAATATTTTCAATAATACTTTATCAAGTTTAACAATTATCATAAAAATTATTTCCACCATTGTTACAGCTAAAGTAGAAGCGAAATTAAACTGTATCGACGACATTTCTTGCGAAGACTAATCTGACTTGGTTTAATATCGACTAAAAAGATTGATAACTCCGCCAGTAGAACCTTAGGGGCTACTGCCGGTCCCAAGCCCGGATAAAGGAGGAGGGTTGGACATGGGGTTGGCGGCCCCATTCCGTTGAAATCTAACTTGCCAAAAAAACGCTAACCAGAAAAAATAATTCAAACCATTTTAACTCTGCCCTGGGAGTTGGAAGAAGAATTATGACGTCTCGTGATGAAAGCCGAGTCCCCTCGGAAGTCACGGGGCCGATGCCTCTTCTGACAACTAGAGCAACCATTTTTTTAGGTACATGGAACGTTCGTACATTGTGGGAGACTGGAAGACTATTTCAAGTTGCGGCAGAAATGAAAAGATACAACCTCGAGGTGCTCGGCATCAGTGAAACACATTGGACACAGGTAGGACAACTGAGACTTGCTTCAGGGGAACTGCTGTTATACTCTGGTCATGAAGAGGAAAATGCTTCACATACACAAGGAGTTGCACTGATGCTGTCCAAACATGCACAAAAGGCACTGATAGGATGGGAATCTCATGGACCCAGGATCATTAAAGCATCCTTCAAAACAAAGAAACAGGACATTACAATGAACGTCATCCAATGTTATGCACCTACCAATGACTACAATGACGACGTTAAAGATCAATTCTACGAAAGGCTGCAGTCAGTCGTCGAGAAATGTTCACCAAAGGATTTGACGATTCTTATGGGAGACCTGAATGCCAAGGTTGGAATGGACAACACTGGATATGAAGACATCATGGGACGACATGGACTGGGAGAAAGGAACGAAAACGGTGAGAGATTTGCAAACCTATGTGCCTTCAACAAACTGGTCATCGGTGGCACAATATTCCCGCACAAACGCATTCACAAAGCCACATGGATTTCACCGGACCACACTACTCAAAACCAAATTGACCATATCTGTATCAACAAAAAGTTCAGAAGGACCATGGAGGATGTGAGAACCAAGAGAGGAGCTGATATAGCTTCAGATCACCACTTGCTGATCGCCAAAATGAGATTGAAGCTAAAGAAGCACTGGACAGCGGGGCAGACAACATCACAGAAGTTTAATACGGCCTTTCTTCGGGATACCGTAAAACTCAACGAATTCAAGATAGCCCTCACCAATAGGTTCCAGGCCTTTCAGGATCTACTCAATGGAGAGGAAGCAACATTGGAGAACAATTGGAAAGGGATTAAGGAGGCAATCACTTCAACATGTCAGGAGGTCCTTGGTCGCAAGAAGCACCATCACAAGGAATGGATCTCTGTTGGTACTCTTGAAAAAATTCAAGAAAGGAGGAACAAGAAGGCAGCTATCAATGTCAGCCGAACAAGAGCAGAGAAAGTTAAGGCACAAGCTGAATACACAGAAGCAAACAGGGAAGTGAAGAAGAGCATCAGAGATGACAAACGAAAATATGTGGATTATCTAGCAATGACGGCGGAAAAGGCTGCAAGAGAAGGAAACTTGAGACAATTGTACGAAACTACAAAGAAGCTCGCCGGAAACTATCGTAAACCAGAACGACCAGTGAAAAGTAAGGAAGGCAAAGTAATCAGCAACACTGACGAACAGCGAAATAGGTGGGTGGAGCACTTTAAGGAACTATTGAATCGACCAGCTCCACTGAACCCACCCAACATCGAAGCAGCATCCAAGGACCTCCCAATTAATATTGGCGCACCTACGATTGAGGAGATCAGTATAGCCATCAGACAAATCAAGAGCGGCAAAGCAGCAGGACCAGACAACATTCCAGCAGAGGCAATGAAAGCAGATGTGGAAGCAACTGCGAAAATATTTCACATTCTCTTCAAGAAGATTTGGGATGAGGAACAAGTACCATCAGATTGGAAAGAAGGATACCTGATCAAAATACCAAAGAAAGGCGATCTCAGCAAGTGTGAAAACTACAGAGGCATCACTCTTCTTTCAATACCAGGCAAAGTCTTCAACAGAGTATTGTTAAACAGAATGAAGGACTTCGTAGACGCCCAACTTCGAGATCAACAGGCTGGATTTCGTAAGGATCGATCGTGTACTGACCAAATTGCTACATTACGGATCATTGTGGAACAATCAATTGAATGGAACTCACCACTCTACATCAACTTTATCGACTACGAGAAAGCATTCGATAGCGTGGATAGGAAAACACTGTGGAGGCTTCTTCGACACTACGGTGTGCCTGAGAAAATAGTCAACATCATACGGAATTCTTATGATGGATTCAACTGCAAAATCGTACACGGAGGTCAGCTGACAGACTCTTTTGAGGTGAAGACCGGTGTCAGGCAAGGTTGCTTACTCTCACCCTTTCTCTTTCTCCTGGTCATCGACTGGATTATGAAGACGTCAACATCTGGAGGGAAGCACGGTATCAACTGGACAGTTAGGACGCAGCTGGACGATCTGGACTTCGCAGATGACCTGGCTCTTCTATCGCACACTCAACAACAAATGCAAGAGAAGACGACCAGTGTAGCAGCAGCCTCTGCAGCAGTAGGTCTCAACATACATACAGGAAAAAGCAAAATTCTCCGATGCAACACAACATGCACCAACCGAATTCCGCTTGATGGAGATACCTTGGAGGACGTTAACACCTTCACATATCTTGGCAGCATCATCGACGAGAAAGGTGGATCGGACGCAGATGTGAGGGCGCGGATTGGCAAAGCAAGGGCTGCATTTCTACATTTGAAAAATATCTGGAACTCCAAACAACTTTCAACCAAAACCAAAATCAGGATCTTCAATACAAATGTCAAGACAGTTCTACTGTATGGAGCGGAAACATGGAGAACTACCAAAGCCATCATCCAGAAGATACAA